CCATCCTTCCGAGGTGGGTGAAATGAGGAGCCGGATTGTTGGGGGCAATATGCTGACTCTGTAAACCGCTTAGAGAGGGCTGAAAGCCCTATGAAGCGGTATATAAGTCTAACTACTATTGTCTCCAACCTTGGCAACTTTAAGACTTGTGGACTTCAATTCCCAGAATTCCTCAGCCAGAGACCCCTGACTTAGAGCATTTGAAGTTCTTCTGTTTCTCCAGAGCGTGTGTTTGGATTTTCGAACTCCACATCCGGTAGTTCTAACTGAGGTGGTGGACCCTAAAGGCCCGTGAACTATTTGTCAGAAAAAAAGGACTACCATAAAGTGTTGGAGGAATGTGTGTCCTTAATTTAATTCATCTATTTCACAGGCAAGAGTGAAACCCAGCAAGTTTAATGAGTGACAGCCTTATCAGTATTATAGATGTTTGAAAGGGCAAGCCCTCTCCCCGGGGGACTGTATTTCTGTGTTTCGGGGGGGGGGGGGATAAGGGGGGATCTCTTGGTGGGAATTCTTGGCAGCCGTATGAACTCAAGCTATAAGTCCAGTGATTCTTGGAAGGAAGTTGTGACTATAAATTACGTACAACACAAGTAGGTCACGCAGATGAGTCTGTTGTTGCGAAAGGAGGCCTCTCCAGAAGAATGTTTGAGGCAACCCATCTGTCGTCCATTGCAACCTCTACCGAATTTTGTGAATCTCACCCACTCGTATTGTGTCAGTGCCGCGGCGTTATGGGAAATCCTACTTGAATGATCTGATCCCACTGATAGGAAGCTCAGCATCTCCTATGCGCTACTTGGCAAGGACTCTGGAATCCGATGTGCTTGGGCTGCTGTTATTCTTCAAAGAGGACTAATACATTATAAGAAAATAAGTCAACATTCCATATTATTATTTATGTAGCGTCTGGCATCCATGGCCTAGCAAGTACATACGAACGTTTCGCCTAGCTCAGTGAAACTTAATAAAACATAAAGGTTAAAAAGATCGATGTTCAAATACCAATGTGATGGCCAACTTTTTTGTCGTGGCATGCCGAAAGCGTGCATGCATCCACAATGCCATGTGTGTGTGTGTGACACTCCTTCCCCCCGCCCTGCGCATGTGCGTGTGACCCAGGGGTGGGTTTCTCGCCCCGTTCCAACTGGTTCGGTTGGAACGGGGCCGGCGGNGGAGGGAGGGAGAGAGAGGGAGGGAGGGAGAGGGAGAGAGCGGGAATCATACAAATATATGAAGAGCAACAATCAGATCTGTGGCCATTTATCTTTTTTACTACTGAACTAATTTTATGGAATGTTAGTCTATCTGCTCCCATTCTTTAGGTCTTCCGAAAGGTTGTGAAGGCCTGGGATGGGCCAACTCCCCTGGGATCCCAATGAAAATGTAGCCCTTTGCAGAAGGCTAATAGAGTACCGTGTTTTCCCGAAAATAAGACAGGGTCTTATTTTCTTTTGACCCCCTAAAATAAGCCCTTGGCCTTATTTTTTGGAGAAGTCTTATTATTTTTGAGGTGCAGGAGGCGGCGAGCGTGGTCACCTCACGGCTGCTGCTGTGTGGCAATATTTTCGGGAAGGGCTTATTTTCAGGAGAGGGCTTATTTTAGCACATGCACTCAAAAGCCCAATGGGGCTTATTATCCAGGGAGGTCTTATTTTGGGGAAAACAGGGTAGATAACCCCCACCCACCTGCCTTTGTGTACTTGGCTCCCCACCTCTCCATCCTGTTTAGTTTTAATTGAATTTTAAATCGAAGGTCCTTATTTATTGTTTTCATGTCTTACGGCACATTCTACTCAACTCCGAAACACTTTTGGCAAGATGGGCGGTATACAAATTTGGCAAACAAAGCAAACAAGAACTCTTTTAAGTTGTAGACATCCCACGAGCACTGGTAATTTAATATGTAGCCGATTACTGCATTAAGACACAATGGCGCTACTCATGTTTAGCCACGAGAGCTCACTGCTGAAATCCAAGGGCATTTATCTAATGACACCTAGATGACAGGGCTTTACTAAGTGACCTGTAAATCATGTTAATCCCTTGTGATCTCTGACTTGAGGGATGGAGATTAACAAGTGGAAAACAATCTGGAATGCCTGAGAAAAATATGAGGGCGGCAGAGACACTTAAACTGACTTTAATACATCCTGGATATAGGTTAGATATCACTGAGAGATTATGGACATTGTCAGCTCCATTCAAGTCCTTGCAGAATCAATGTGCAAAGTTAATCAGGATTGTGTTTGACCTGGGGGGGGGNAATATACAGTGTTTGTAGTGTTATATTTCAGACTATACTTGTACAGATGCTGTTGAAATGTGTTTTCTGGAAGTATAGTTATTCTCTGCTATTTAAAACAATAGCACTTTTTAAAACAATAGCACTGGGCCTCTTCAGATCAAGCATTTATTTTAAAAAGCTTCTTCATTTTGTTAAGTTGTTTAGAACAATAATAAAGCAGTCTTTTAAAAACAAGACTAATAATTTATATAGGCATTTATAGTTGTTGACTTGCCTCCTTGCAGCAAACAGCCTGATTAGCACAAGAAAAATAATAATCTGCCACCCAGCAATTTGCCATGTGGAGCAAACAGCTAGTTTCACTTTCAATTTCTCCCCATCATCAGCTGTTAGAGGCTGCAGGGATTGCTATGCAAGCCCTGTTTGCTGCAAAAAGTTAAATTGCTGGGAGGCAGAGGCCAAAAGGTGTGGGCCGATGGGTGGCTGGGGCTACATTCAGTGTATAAGATGCACCCAAATTTTCAGCCTTTTTTGCGGGGGGGAAGGTGCATCTTACACTCTGAAAAATACTGTATTTTATTGCTATTGCTATAAGATGCCTAACAATGCTGAAATAAAGCTAGGATTTGAATTGTAATGTGCAATTGTCCGCTAACATCTCTAATTATACTTAAAACCTTATTTGTGAAAATATCTACAGACCTCTCACATCCTGGATATAAATTGTTTCAACTTCTGCCCTCAAAACAACGCTATAGGGCACTGCACACCAGAACAACTAGACACAAGGACAGTTTTCCCCCCCGGATGCCATCACTCTGCTTAACAACTAATTCCCACAACACTGTCAAATAATTTACTAAGACTGTGTTATTACTATTAGTCTTCTCTTCCTTCTTAGTATCTATTTCTTCCCAATTATAACTATAACCATGTTGTGTCTTTCAATTTATATTGTTTTATTTACTAGTATGGTTTGATAGCTTATTAGTAACCTTGACTATCACTAAGTGTTGTGCCTTTTATTCTTGATGAATGCATTTTATTCTCCTTATGAACACTGAGAGCCTATGCACCAAAGACAAATTCCTTGTGTGTCCAATCACACTTGGCCAATAAAGAATTCTACTCTATTCTATAAAGAATTCTATTTAACTTAATAAAATGCAATTCCTAGTTCAGAGGCACTCAAAATTAGCAACCATGATTTGATTGAGAAAGACAGGTTCTTGATTCTGGTTTGTGCTGCAGCCAAAATGCGTTTCTGAATGCATCCCCAAAGATGCACATAGTTAAGGTATGCTAAAGTCTCTCTGCTGAACTCGCTGCCTGGTTGCTACCTTAGCATGTCTGTGGGATTTGGGGTTGCTGCAGGACCTTCACTCCTGATATTGCCTGTAGTCTCCCAACCAAGTAATACTTTGCTTTAAACTGAAAATCCGGATCTTAAGAAATCAAACATTGCGCTCTTCACAATGCCAGTCTATTGCTTTTGTGTTCGTGTGTGTTCCCAAGGAACAGTTCTGCACACGTTTGTTGCTCATTAAAAACCAGCCAGAATGTATTGAAAAGAAAAATAACCTCATCACAGTTCTATCCTCCAAATATAATAGCATAATTTACCATTTTGGGTGTGTGCTTCAGCTGCATGTTCTTAGCTTTCGAATGTCCGCTATCGCAATTTAGCTCCGGGAACTCTTCTTCATCCTGAACAAAAAAAAAATTGGAAAATTCATTAACTGAAATTCACAGGACAGAATATTTGTATTTTGCAAGGAAGGCGTTACTCTAGTTAAAAGATTGGTAAAAACTGGCAAATGCACATGAATGGTATCAAAAGGGATATAAGCATGAAATTAGATTGGAATTTGCAGGAAAGATATTGTTATCACATGCCAGGATAGATTGGAAACAAATTGAAAAATGTTACTGGTAATTCAAAAAATAAGTTTTTAATGTTTTAAAATCAGCAAGCAGGACGCATTAAGATGCAGCTGTCCACCAAGTCAAAATCTCCGCTTGTCTTAGTGAACGAAAGCTGTCATAAACAAGATTAATGAAAGAGTTACCCCAAAATATAGCAGTTCAGGGCTCTGCTCTACTCTGTTTGACTGGCTTGTGATTACTGGTTTCTCATTTTTCTTCTGCAAATTCTGTTTCCTTTCTGAAGATGTGCTGTGATCTCTACATTTAAAACCAGGCTATACAAGCAGATAAAAACAAACATATTAGGACTGTCTCTTTTAAATTGAAGTATGAAAGCACCCATGTAAATCACAAAGTATGTGCTAGCTATCTTGTCTGCCAGGTGAAAATATGTGACTGTAGAAATGTGACTAACAGTGACAAATAAAAAGTTGAACAGTCTTCACAGAGTGGAGCAGACTAAATGGACTGGCATTACAAGAAATTAAAACAGATTCATGCAGTCAATATTTCATCAGCTTATTTGGATTCCATGCGACTAAACCCAGCTTAATAGGAAAATAATTCAGTAGCATTGACATGTTTTAACACTGTACGCAGATTGCCAATTAATTCTGTAATCATCTTTCAGCCAAGAGGCACAAATGAAAGAACGTAGCAATAAGGTGGAGAATTTCATTTCTCAAATAACTGTATGAGTTTACTGATTAAGGGATTCTGCAGCAATCTATTTTTCAGCCCGACACAGTTTGTTGCGATCTTTCAATTATATAGCATGTGAAGGATGTGTTTGTGTTTTTTATTTTTATAGTTATAATGTACACCGAAGATGGCATTTAATTTCGTTGTACGAGGTGCAGTGACAATAAAGTAAAGTAAACTAAACTGAGCTAAAAGTTCCTAAAACCTTGGAAAGGGTAAGAATGTACCAAGTACTTTCAGACTAAAAATCAGGGCAACAGAGCATCTTGTTATATTCAACTGAAAGTTGCTCCCAGTAGTTTTCTACCTGAAAAGAAAGCTTGAAGTAGTGGAAACTGTACCTCTGAATCGTGCTGATGTTCTGGTTGCCTTCCACCTCTGGAGAAAGAGTTTCTCTCTATCCAAGGCTTCTTCTGAGTAGCCTGAGAACTGACACTTGCCCAGCTGGCACCACCTGGAACAAGCATCACGTAAGTTTAAGGAAAGAGAACATGTGAAAAGAAGGGGGGGGGGGGAGATGCAAAGAATGCATGTTCCTTTTTTTTACACAGAAAAAAAAAAAAAACTAAAACTCCACACCTCAAAGAGAGCCAAATAGATGTTGGCTCTAACCAGCATGTGTATCCACGGAATTAGCTTTCTTTCCCAGTTTACATGGTTAGGTCACAAAAAATAACAGAGAGATCAGTCTGTCTGCAATTTCTCTTTCTTTAAAGACACCAGCAGTCTTGAAATACCGTATTTTTCAGAGTATAAGATGCACTGGAGTATAAGACGCACCAA